AACTGCCTATCAATTTGATAAATTTAATAACAAATCAACCATTTGAAAGAACATACACACTAATCAACTAGATTAAATAACATAAACGGCTCAATTAACAACAAAATCAACTCAACAAGTGAACAATTAGTGTAAAATACGAAGTTAAAAACGGGAAAATCAATCGAGTAAGGTACCTAAAAGGCTGTAAGAATGGAGCCGTGGTATGATTGAGAAACGCTAGATTGCTAAGATTGGAGAAAGAATTTCTGTGGTAGTTTGAGCGAATTCCAACGATGAATGAACTTCTGTATAATTCGACCTGAATTGAGTATATTAACTATTAAAGCTGGGGTTTTGGGTTTTGGTGTTTATTATTGTGTGTTGTTTTCGCTGCCTTTGATACGGAGAAGGCCAGTTGGGTTTAAAGGAAAGCAATTTTGATACGGGCCAGACCGAAGAAATCGGTTTGGTCTGGATGAGAAATTTTTAAAAGGATCTTCGGTGCGGTTTAGTTCAAAATCCTTTAGAATTCGGTCTTGTTTCTTTGTTTAAATTATGAACATAAACTATGTAATGTCTAAACTTTTATTCACAATGTTACGTATTTTATATTTTGAGTTATATCGTTTTAGACGTTCAAAATAGACATTATGAGTAAATAATCATGTTCCTTATACTACGTATTTATTTTTTAGTGTGTTTTATGTACGACAAGCCACATCATGGGTCCGTTTATAAAAAAAAACATAAGTAACCCCTGTAACATTAATCGAGTAATCCCTTTTAACATTGATCGAGTAATCCCTTTTAACATTGATCGAGTAACTCATATAACACCGACGAAATAACTCATGTAACACTGACCGAGTAACCCCTATTACACTAACGAATTAATCTCTATAATGGTTTATGTCGAAACCCATTGTATTCTACTTGTGAGTGTCCCATATTAGAGAAAGAGAAGGGATGGTGATAGAGTATAAAACATATTCCTAGGTCATTAGCTTAAGCTTTTGGTTGAATTGGTCCTCTATCAATGGTTTCACTTTATAAAGTGGATGAGTTATTCATACTATTGTCAATTGGTTTTAGTATGGAAGCTCCAAAGCCTTGTTTGTGGACCCAACTCTCCTCCTCCTTGTTCGGGATGCCCAAACCCATTTCATATTGTTTCAAAATTCAACAGTTTATCACACTGTGATGCCAACCACTTATAAGAATTTGTATGAAACAATATATATTAAAGTGATGAAGAATGCCTACTGCAATTTTGCAAATCAAGATAGCTTTTTATTTTTTTTTTATTTTTTTTACACCATCAAGATAGCATGTTAATTGTTAAAGAACTTTTTACTCAAATCAAGAATGTCCATTACCACGGAAAATAAAATAAAGATGAGAATAAAATTACGTTAATTACTTAATTAGCCATGTAAATAGCTTAAAGTCTTGAATGAAATGAGAGAACTAGCTCTGATTCATGAAAATAGAGGGAATGAAAGAGCCAAAGAGGAGGTAGAAAACATTTATATCTAATGTCCAACTTAAATTTATTTTTTTATTTTTTATTTTTTTGTTCAATTTAATGAAGGGTGTAGGTGTAGCATTAAAATTAGAAAATTGTATAAAATTAGGAATTTATGACAAAAACACGCGTAAATTAGTATAATTAGTGTGTTTGTGTCATGATTTTCTAAAATTAAACAATTATCAATAGTGTTTTAAATGCTTATGTAGTCATGGGCTATGTATAGCATTTTCCTTGAGTATTGTAGCAATGTAGTCATTGCAAAATTGTTCTTAAAATTTATTATGCATGAATTACGTGTACTACTTAGCTCGTTGTAAATGATTTTAACTAATTTTAGCTTTTATTTTTTACTATTATACCAAATCTTTCTTTTCATAAGTGATCTAAACAAAAAACATTTTATATATGGGGCTCTTGATCGGTAAGAAGCAGCAAGTTCACCTACACAAAACAAAAACATATTCACAAAATCAAAAAGACTTGCGTGGACTTGGTCCACAATAATATTATTGTGGAGCCGAGGTCTATACACACGTAACTGACATTATATTGAATATAGTGACCATTATTTTTAACATAGTAACCTTTATTAAAACCACTACTACGTTTAATAATATTGTGAATTTGAAATACGACACTATTATCCTAATTTTAACATAGTGGCCTTTTATTATTCATATTGATCAGTATATAAAATATTTTATTACAAAATAACCACTTAGGCCTATATATTACCAAAATGATTTTTATTTCAACATAGTGACCTTTTTTTTTTTTTTAATTATAGTGACCCCTTTTTTTTATAAATAAAACAACCATACTTTTTCTAATGTTAGTGGTCCACAATAAGGGCGTGTTTGGCGTTAGCTTTTGAGTAGCTTTTACGTAGCTTTTAGTGGTTTGACTTGGTCAAACCACTACTCAACAAAAAATGTGAGTGTTTGGCAAAGTAGTGGTCAGGGTAGCTTTTAGTGGTGGAGGTAGCTTTTGTGAAAAGTTAGAAATATTAGTTTTTGAAATTAGAGGTAGCTTTTCAAGTAACTGTTGAAAATTTAATCTATAGTTTTAAAAATAAAATATTGATTTTTATATGTAACAGCTAGTCAACCACTACTTTACCGAACACTCATATCTAAATTATTTATCTTTACAGCTAACAGCTTGTTGACAGCTAACATCTACCTACACAGCTAACAGCTACCTCCACAGCTACAGCTACCTTCACAACTATATTTTGCCGAACACGCCCTAAATTAATGTGAACTAGGTCCATTTAAGAATTTGTGTCACAAAATCACATGATGCTTGCAATATGCTCACATTGACAAGACAACTTTAGAAAAATAATATTATTTGATTGGATTATGTTTATTTGTCATTAATTGTTTTATGATACGAATCTCTGTTGCTAATAACTTAATATTATTAGTAAGTGTCTCTTGTACTTTTTTTAATTTCCTAGTAAGTTCAATGATATTGATTGCACACCTTCCTTGATTCCTTAGTTTGCGAACAGTGCCAACATCTTGTTTGGGAAAAACGAAGAAATTAGGAAGAGGAAATTACTCCGATGGTGTCAAATGAACGATTATTCATTTGGTTAACATGTATACATTTCATACTTGTATTATATATTGTCAATCATTTAAAACAAAATCTAGAAATGATGTTCATGCATATTTCAATTCGTGCATCATATAACTCAATTTATGCACGCCAATAATCTTAATTAACATTTGGACAATGGATTACTACAACATTAATTGGTTTGCATATTTTAAGATCATTTCATTTGGGTATCATAAGATATTTTATTGATCAAATATTTTAAATCTTGATTATTCAGTATGTATTATATAGAGAAAAAACCGCAAAGATAATAATATAGACGAGATTTGATCTCAAGTCTTGAATACTACTCCTCAATACTTTAAATAACTAAACTAGTTAATCATCTAATTGATTACTCGATCTATCTATAAAGTTTGAGGTTTTTTTTTTTTTTTTTTTTTTTTTTTTTTTTTTCAGTACTACCGAGTAAGATATGGTGGTAGATGAAGATTAAAATGTTAAAATTGAGTAGTTGACTTTTGCAACTAGTTTTGTTATTTTCTTAAAAAATAAAATAAAAATCTCTTAATTTGTTATTAATAGCAAAATAGAATGAATTTCTACAAGTAGTACTAGTAGCAGAGGCACGCGTAGAGCCCTTTATGATAAGTTGATAACGCTAATTACTCTTCTAATACTTACGGAGTACCAATTAACAAATAAGTCGTCATTTCCTATGGAATGCAAATTATGTGTAATTCACTAATTCTCAATGCCAAAATACCAAAAAAGAATAGTTGCCTATTAACGACATATGAAGTATTGAAATACAACCTAATATTTATAATTTTTTTTTGGTAGAAAACATACGACTTGATTATAAGTCTTAATCAACCAACATTACGTCATTAAATTAGTGTAATAAGTCAAAAAAGTGAGGTCTAATTCCAATAATAAATAAAAACGTTGTATTTTAGCTTAGCCTATTTTAAACTCCACCGACTCGGTCGGCTGGTTGGACCCTCCTTTCCAATACTTAAGAAGGCATTTTCCCACCACTAACCCCAAACACACTCCCTTCACTCACCATTCATAATTCTACCTTTAAACGTTTTAAAAAAGCCAAAAATTTGTATGCATGCATGTATATGGAATATACATTGTACTCCGTATACTTGCATCATTATTTTGTACTTCATCCTTTTATAGTCTTTTAATATCTACTTAAAAAATTATATAAAAAAATTAATACAAAAATACATATTAATTATTTAACAATTATGTAGTGACTAGTGATCATATAGAAATTGCACTATGTACACTGATATTGCGTGCTCCATGGCACCTACATAAACTCCAATTGGTAAAAGGTGACTCTAGAATGAAATACTCTATGATTTGTACTGTATTAGTTAGTGTGATAAATGCCTCTCATCACCTATATAAAGTGTTATCCTTCGTATTTTTTAAATATCGACTTTTTATTATATAAGAAAGAATTCGTACTAAGGACCTGTTCACATTTATTGAAGTGAGTTGAACAGTTAAACTGAACTGAACTGATTGGAGCTAAATTGAACTGATTGGAGCTGAACTGAACTGAATTGAGCTGAAATGAATATTTTATGAGAGAGGAAAATTAGGAGCTGAACTGAACTGAATTGAAATCAAGTAAATGTGAACATACCTTAAATTAAGTAAAATATTATTGGTTTAAAAATGTACACAGAATTTACCAACTTTCACATGAACCTAAATAATTTTTAAAATACACATATGAATAATTTGGATTTTTTAAAATAGGTAAATGTCAAGTAATACTCCATATTTCTTATTCAGTAAATGAGTAAAGTATGCCAAAAATTTTCAAATTTAGTCTATTATGATCTTTGGTTGATTTTGGTATGTGTTTTCTTACAATAGGTATGTCAAAATTAATATTTAATATGTCGAAATTATTTTTAATTAATCATGAATTACATTAAAAATAAACTAATTTTATGTTCGTTGCATACAAATAATGTACTCCTTACTCGTAATATACAATACATCCATTGTCCATCCGACCCCATTGAAAAATATATAAAAAAAGCCTATGACGTGTCCGTAGCGGGAAATTTACATGCCCAAACAATAAATCAAAAGATAAAGAAAGGTCCTCCAATGATGGCAAAAAAATCTGGTCCGTCTTGTTTGGGTTAGAAAATCACTAACATTTCCCTATTTATTTCTCACACTTGTTTGGAAACAAAAACCTTTCATTTTCATCTTCCGTTGGAAAATTAATTAATTTCTCTTCCAACAATCTCGGCATATTAAGTGTATGTCCAATTTTTCCTACATTTTCTGCTCAAACTTTGGTTAATTACCACTCATTCACTAATCAATCAGATTGTATTAAACACCAAATTTCCATGTCCTTAAGTCACTATATTTCAACTTTCTCTTTGCTTATAATGGAGAAATTTCTTTGCTTTTTTAAAAAAATTATGGGAATTTTCATGGGTTTAAACGCCAAAATCCAGTCTTTTTCTACCTGATTTGTCCTCAAATAAACATGCTGTTTGTCGGCAATTCTAGCTGGGGTTTTCTCTGGAGTTTTATTGTTGATGTTTTTGGCTTCGTTTTCCAATATTTTTGGAGGTAAGTTTGTCATTATTTGATGAAATTTCTCCAATTTAAAGAACAACTTTTATTGAATTTTCTTCTTTCTTTTAAATATTATAATTGCAGGTTTTTTGATCAGAAATCTGTGGAAAGGGGAAATGGATTAGTTTTGGATGATTTCGATGCAAAATCTGATATGGGTATTATCGAAAATTGTGAAAAAATGGAATTTGAGGAAATTAATGAGGAAAATGAGATTCCTAAGTTGGAGTCTGAGGTAGAAAATGTGTGCAATACTAGTACAAGCAAATATCAGTTTATAACTGGGAATAGTGTTTGTGCATTCATAGAAGAGCCTCAAACTATGAACTTTACTGTCCAACAAATGTTTGTGATATCTCATGATGACTCTCATTCTCCTCCCCTTAGGCTAGAATCACTTGAGAAAGATGATAGTCTGATCGAAGTCGATTTTCGTGGAGTTTCGGTTGGTTCGGATGACGACTTGGTTAGCCATGATGTTGTAGGGGTTGTTGATTTTTGTTCATTGGAGAAAAATGATTGTGTTGAGTTGAGTGAAGAAGAGGAAGAGGAGGAGGAGGATGTGAAACAGGGGAAAACAGAGTGCTCTGTTATATTACAGGGGAAAACAGAGGACTCTGTTTGTGATTATAGTTGTAATGAGTTGGCAGTTTTGAGTTTTGATCAAGATGAAGTTGTTGAAAAAGAAGAGAATTTTGTTGATGAAAAGGATGAAGTCGCGGAAAAGAGTGAAATTTGTGATGAAATTCGTTCGTCTATAGCAGATAGTAATGAATTTTGGGCTAGCATTTATAATTATGATGAGTTTTTAGGTGACAATGAGAAGTTTGATTCAAAAATTGATGTTATATTGTATGATAGAGGTTTTAATGATTCATTAGACCCTGCAACTCCAGTTGGTATAGGTGATATCAGAGTGGATTACGATCACGATAGTCCAAGTTCCACAGATGGTTCTCCAATTGATCATATAAATTCCGAATTAGATGATGTTCATATTGGATTAGTTGAGCAAGAAAGTGATGAACCTTCTTACATTGAACTAGACCCTCAATCATATCTTTCAAGTAACCATGTTGAACAACATGTGGCAAAGGATGGTGATTATACAGATTCTGAAGACGACGAGTTTGATGAAGAAAGATTAAAGCCAAGTGACCTGAAAGACATAGATGGTTCAGACAATATCGAGGTAGATGAACAAATGGGAACAGATGTACTATTGGAGCAAAAGGAATTGATCCGGCAAATAAAAAAGGAAATGAGACAATTGAAGATCAGTGGACTTCCCACTATCTTAGAAGAATCTGAGTCTCCTAGAGTGGAAGAAGATTTGAGGCCATTGAGGATCGATGAACGAATCGGGCATAAAGATCGAATGGACGAGATTCAAACCTTCTACAGGAGGTATTTGGACAAGATGAGGAAGCTAGACATTTTGAGTCAGCAAACAATGTATGCAATTGGTAAGTTACTAGTCTTACTACTACCATGTTAAGCATTTTCTTCATGTTTTACTTTGATTTATGTTAGGTGATGCTTATTCTATTAGATCTTCTTTGCAAAGTATAGATTCATATGCTATTATCTTTGAATAGATTCTACTATCTAATCAAAGTTATTCCATGATTATCAAGATGATGAATTATTGTCATGATTATAGGAAATCTTTCATAAATTAAGACTAGGAATTAGGAAGGGATAGGCTAAGCTATGTTGCTTTTAAAAATGCTATGGACTTACTATACACTTGTTGGATTGCTAAGTAAAGAAAAGAAGCGGGTAGCTTTTAAAGAATAGATGCTATTTGGTTTAAATTTTTAAAATTGGAGGCTAAAGACCTAAAGTTCAAAAGAATTTAATATTCTAAAATACTTTTCAATATTATTATTTTTTTTTATGTGAAGAAAATTACTTTTCAATGTGAATGTGTGTTATATTAAGAAAAGTCTTGTTATTTAGAATAAGTCTTGTTAAGTAGTTATACTTTTCCTTAGTAAAATATAGAAAATTATGCTAAACTTATAGTTAGTTTCCCATTGTGATTAAAGTGTGCCTCGGAAAGAAAGAATTTTAATAGAATAATTTGTCAACTCTATAAAAGTTAATGATATCTACCCAAATTAATGACGTGTCACATAATAACTAGTTATAAAATTAAGTTAATAGCCTATGACAAGTTAATTTAAAGATGTATTTTAAATTGGACATTCTAAAACACCTAGTAAAAATTGCCTATAATTCACATTTCTATTATATCAGTCAACGCTTTGTGTTTCATCTTAATTATCTTAAACACCCTTAATAAATAATTTGTCAATCTCTTTAGCGTAAATAAAAAGGTGTCTTGTTTCATTGAAAAAATAAATAAAAGATGTTATGAAACAATGATAAGGGCATCAGTCAATCCTAAAAAGAGTACTTTGTAATTTGCACTTACTTCACATTATCATTTGGTCCATAAAGAAGAGTAGGCACCTAAATTACTGAACTCAAATCTAACCCATAACCGAACTTGAAACTAAGTTGAGATGCTAAAAATCCATAATGACTTAGATAAAAATGTATTTCGAATCTAGAAGTTAATATAAACCATTTGGAATCAAGCTAGTTCAATTAAAACAGTCTAAACTGAACAAGTATATATTATAATGAGCTAACCTCATCACAATCACCTGTGCAAGATATAAAAAAAAGCAAAGCAATCATCTCAGAAGCCCAATAAAGATTAATACCAATAAGCCCTTAAAATCCATTAACAAACTCAAACCTTCATCATCTCACTATTATCTTTTCATATTTTAATGGACCTTTAGATAGAAAAACAATAATGTAGACAAAATTCGATTCTTTAGTCATCACCAGTGTATCATCCTTAAAATTATATAGAGTACTAAATAATCTAGGAAAATTTAAGGGCATTTGAAACCATTTTCTTAATATTACCTTTTAATTCAAGAATTACATAATTGCCTTTTACACCATTTTATATAAACCTTGACGATTTTTGTTTATTAGTATATTTTTATAATCACAATTTGTTTATAAACTTTTCAAAAACACAATTAAAAATATTACTCTTAATAATCAAAGTAGTATGTAGGTAAAAATAAATATCTTGTTAAAATGATAGTAGACAAGACATCTTTGTTTATGAATTTGTGGACAAGACATCTTTGTTTATGAATGAACTAGTGAACGACCCATAAAAGATCAATCATACGTGCAACCCTAGTTAAAGGTGTAGGGGTGGGCTGACCATTTAGTTATCTTTAATCAAATCCCTAGGTATTATTAAATCTCTTTAATGACAATTGAACTGAAATTTGTTAGTCCCACCAAACAATCATGCAAATACGAAGTACGGAGTATAATTTTTCATTTTTTTTTATTTTTTTATTTTATTTTTTCTCCTTAGACCTTCTTTTAAGAGAAGTATCATATATTATTACGGGTCTACATCATTCTTTCTTTTTCTTTCCCACCAACTTTTGCTGATCAAAGTGTTTTTGTATGACTTTGCATTTCCACTTGTCTACTCTCTCCTCCATGTATGTCTATGTTGTTACAAGTCCTATTTTCATAGATTTAATGTGAGCCTTCAAATGCTTTTTCCCTCTCTTTTTTACCTTATATGCTGAATAGTGTGATGTCCTGTTATTTGGTACAACTATAGGATTTATTGTCCTGATTAAAGTAAGCTTTGGACGGAAAGCGTAGGATCAAAATTTAAATTGATGTCGATGGCCGACTGTAATAGGTGACGATACAGTGTATTAATTGTAAATAAATACGTATATAAACTTGTAAGCCGATACTGTGACAATATCTTTAGGCCATATTAAAACATCAACATCTTGACCTACACATTGTGTTATCTTAGTAGAATTACTTTGTAGAAAACATCAACATGACCTTGTAATAGTCTTTTTTTTAACAAAATAATAACTTCATGTGAGTATATGTTTATAAATAATTTTAAAACCTTAAATTCCTCTCTGACTTTTATTATCAGTTTATCTTATAATATAATTTTGATTCAAAATAATGTAGAATTTGTATTTAGCACTAGCTTTATATTTCTGTTTAGCCTTTTAACATCTCAACAGTCAATGGGTATTTTTAAGCATCTTTTCAAAGTGTGGAATTACATGCAAAGCCCTTGATCTACACTAAGAGGCATGTTACATGTTAATTAAAAGGGTGGAATCAAAATTACATGACGTTGAGTTTAGCTTCAAAGTGTACAACTTGCACAGTGGCACCCCTAATATGACAACCATAATTTGAATTTAATATAATTTGTTACTGATTTTATAATGTCCTATCTAAATTGCTTGTGCTACTTAATTTACCACTAATTTGGTAATACAAGTGTAAACTGACCTTAAATTAGAGGTATTGGGATAATGTTGACATCGTTCAGTTCAATTTATTTAGTGTCGATATTGTTTAATAAACTAAAGTCACGGGTTCGAATCTCATCCGCCCCTCCTTCAAAGTGAAATTGATTCGCACCAGGTATGGGTGGGTCTGTGTTGCATCCACATTTCAAGCCCAAAGGGCCTTTCATGTGAGGGGGAGTGATAGAGTATAAAACATATTCCTGGGCCTCAACCATCAGTTTAAGCTTTTGGTTGAGTTGGTCCACTAACAGTGTCGATATTGTTTAATAAACTAAAGGACATCTGTTTGGTGTCATGTAGGTCTTCTTCAGTTGAAAAACCAAGATTTGGCCTTGAACAAAAAAGTATCAGTTCCAGCAATAAAGTCCCTTCTAGCTCAAAACTTCTGGTCTAACAAGCTAAGAAAGCATGATCCAGTTCAGAAGTTAATTCGAGATTTGCAAAGGGACTTAGAATTGGTGTATGTTGGTCAGCTATGCTTATCATGGGAGATGTTGAAATGGCAGCATCATAAAGCCGAAGAGCTACAGGCTCATGACCCTGATGGGTTTCGACAGCACAACCAAGTAGCCGGAGAGTTCCAAAAGTTTCAAGTGCTCTTGCAAAGGTTCACCGAGGATGAGCCCTTTCATCAAGGTCCCCGAGTTCAGCACTATGTCAAGAGTCGTTGTAGTCTTCCTTCTCTACTTCAAGTCCCCCTTATAAAAGGTAAGGTAGCTCTAATAAATCGACGTTGATATAACAAGTAGGGATGTATTTATGTTCCATTCTAAGTGACTCTGTAAATTTGTCCTGCAGATGATCCTAAGAGTGATTGGAGAAAAAATAATGACTGTGGAATTACAGTTAAAATGCTGAAGGATGCCATAGGGACATCAATGCGCGTTTTTTGGGATTTTCTCCATGGTGATAAGGATGAAGTCTGTGCTATACCTCTGATGGGAATTCACGGTGTTCACCAGGTCATACTGCAAGATCCTTCTGATGCAGACTTACTAACAGAAATTCGTTCAAGTCTTCAAAAGGTTTAGGACTTAAACTAATCTTCTGTTTTTTCTAGTGTTACACTGTTATAATTTTGTAATATAGGTTTTTTTTTTCTTACTTGCAGAAAGAGAAGAGGCTTAAGGATCTAGTAAAAAGTGGGAATTGCTTAGTAAAGAAGTTCAAGAAGCATCAAGATCAGAGAATAAGCCACGAAACACTCGTTGCACAGGTAGAGCTCCGGTTAGTCTCTAGGGTGTTGAGTATGCCAAAATTGACTAGTGATCAACTCTTATGGTGCCATAAGAAATTGAACAAGATTGATATTATTGGTAGGAAGATTTACTTAGAGTACTCATTTTTGCTCTTTCCTTGTTAATTACTGTATCATTTAGCACCTTAGTATACAGTATAGTACTAGTAGTATATATTAAAAGTAAGCTTTGCCTAGTGCAAAGAATAGGGGTTACAACAATGTATAGAAGAAATAATACTTAGCTTTTGTCATATACCGAAAATGTATTATGATAAGCACATAAATTTTGTATAATAGAGAAATTAAGCACCCAAAGATGGTGTTGAATGCATCTTGCTGTACTTGCCTGTAGTACCAGAGATCTGCAGCTTTTGTTCATATTCATGTGCATAATTGACTATTGTAATAATATGTGTTTGATTGTGTCAATCTCCTCAAATCAGGAGTGTATTCCATTGAAAATTATTTATAAAGGTTTACTATGATAAGACTGATAACCATAGTAAACTTATAACTATGTAATGAAACCTCGCATAACAAAGATCAGGAGTGCCTTGATCAAGCGAGTGAACTATATTACTGTGTAATTTATTTTCATACCCACCTCAACGAGGCAAGTGTGGTGCAAAATTAACCGAACAAGTTTAGTAGAGTTGGTAAATAACACACGTTATTGAGTTTATGAATTTGAAGTCACAAGTTTGAACCCCACCTACATTTGCTTGAAAGTATGAGGATTTTTTTTTTTAATCTCTCATTTACTCTTAAGCGTTGATTTAACCTGTGAGAAGTAATTGTTTAATAGGGTCTATCATCTTATTTTAAAAAATATGATGCAGAATTTACAAAATTATACATAATCAATTAATCATATACCACCTTAAGTATTAAGAGTATCAAAGGGCCGCCCAAACCAAACTTGCATGGTTGGCATGAAATCGATTTATATTAGGTGCCACCGGGCTCAATATGTACCAAGACTACCAACCTAACTAAGGACCTGTTCATATTTAATGAACTGAACTGAATTGATTGGAGCTGAACTGAACTGAACTGAACTAAAGTTGAAATGAATATTTTATGAGAGAGGGAAATTAAGAGTTGAACTAGACTGATTGAAGCTGAACTGAACAGAACTGAACTGATTGGAGCTGAACTGAAAATAAGTAAATATGAACAGGCCCTAAGAGTGTACACTATAAAAATCACAAAACATAAATCTCTATTCTTACTTTTTTAAAAGTTTGAGATCACTCTTGTTAATAGTGTTTGGACAATTATATTTTCTAAAATGTTATTTACTTATTTGAACTCCTAAAAATAAGGTTAACAATTTCTTTTTTTAAATATTAAATTCCTTTTAAAATTCCTTCAAAAAAAAAAAAAACCTTTTAAAAAGTTTGTGGTAACTCTTGTAAATAGTGTTTATTTACATATTTAAACTCTTAAGAATAATGTTAATAACTTCTTCTTTGAATTCTTTAGAATAGTGTGCAGATATATATATTCCATATATATATATACACTTACAAAATATTTGTTCCTATAATTTTCTTATTAATACTACCAATAACTTAAGTTATAACATAAGGTCAAATGGAAATAAGACCCTAGACATAACTAACTAATTTTAAGATGCACCATGGTGCACCTAGAAATAGGTGCACCACGCCTATACTTTTGAACATTTAGTAAAAAAATCTGAACAATTGCAAATTTTGAACATGTAGTAAAAATATCTGAACATCGCAAATTTTGAACATTTAGTTAAAAATCTGAACAATCTCAATGCATCACACCTATACTTTTGAACATTTAGTAAAAAAATCTGAACAATCGCGAATTTTGAACATTTAGTAAAAAATATGAACATCGCAAATTTTGAACATTTAGTAAAAAATATCTGAACAATCGCAATGCACCACACATATACTTTTGAACATTTAGTAAAAAAATTTGAACAATAACAAATTTTGAAGCTTTAGTAAAAAAATATGAACAATCACAAATTTTGAATTATTGCAAGTCAAACAAATTTTGAAAGAAGTTTGTTGACTCGTAATAATTCAATAGTTTTGTAATATAAACTGAACATTTACCGTATACAAAATGAACATTTCGTTATAAAATATGAACATAAAAATTGCATGCTTATGTTCATTTTTTGTGACGTGTTCATATTTTTTTTACTAGATGTTCATATTTTTGTAAAATATTCAAATTTTTTTCACTAAATGTTCAAAAGTTTAGGAGTTTCTAGGTGCACCATGGTGCACATAATAATAATTGCACATTATTAACTACCCTAATCAAAAGGTATAATCAAATTTAAAGTGCAATGTGTGAATAGTATTATACCGTAACAAAAACGTTGCACTTAAAAAAAACGAAAACCTTATACCGCCCAACCTTGCTAAGTCTGATCCACATCCACCTTTAATGGGCCATACTAAACTTACCCATATTTTTATGGGCCATGAAAACAAAACCCAACAATCTTTTAACCCAAAACCCAATAGGATTGGGCCGGGTAAAGAAATAACAGCCGTCAGATCTAGGGCAAAACAAGATTAGCTCCTTCCTTTATATGATAACCTCCAAACCACCGTAAAACCCCTTCTTCCGCTTCACCCCAAAAATTTCTAGAGAGAGAAACTTAAACTCAGAGTTTAGAGGAGAGAGAAAATGGCGCAGAGGCTTACCTACCGTAAAAGGCATAGCTATGCCACTAAATCTAACCAGCATCGCATCGTCAAAACTCCTGGTATTTTTTTTTTCGTTTTTTTTTGATGTGATTTTTGGGGTTTTTTTTGATGTTTTTTGGTGGTTGTTTTAATGGCGGCGGATTAATTTAGGTGGGAAGCTAGTTTATCAGACTACCAAGAAGAGGGCTAGTGGTCCTAAATGTCCTGTTACTGGCAAGAGAATTCAAGGGGTAATTCTCTCCATTTTTATTCATTTTATGCTTGTAATTGCTGGTTAATTGATGCTGTTTTTTTTATGTTTTGATTGGGTATTTTAGTATGATTTCAATGCTATGTAAATGGGTATTTACTGTTATCACTAATTGATGCAATTTCTCAAATTTTGATTTGGGGTTTTAGGATGATGAAATGGGTTATTTTGGCTGCAATGGTTGATAATCATTTCTGGAATTTATGTTAAAGTTATAGTTTTTGCTTGTTTTATGTAGCATTTAGCTGGGTTTGTTTTTAATTATTGATAAATGATGCTGAAATGTTATATGCATTCCATTGTTGTGAAATGTTGTCTAGTTCAGATGTGATAGGTCTACTTTTCATGATTTCTATTAATCATAGTGTGAATATCTTAGTTGTAGTGGAGATTTGTTTGAATTAGGTTTTGTTTTAATGTGCAACTAGCATTATTGGGTGTCATTTAACTTGGAAATTGCAACTTCTTTGTTCTTTCGAATTAGTCGAATGCTATAATTTCCCGAGAGTTGTTAACAAGTGGTTGTGGAATTCGGGTTTTTTATGTATCATGTGTTTGTGAAAGATGAATTGCTTTAGCTTTAATGCTGCCCAATGATGGAAAATCATAAACATTGAGTGGCTGCATTTGGTAATTTGTCATTAGGCTTTCTTCACCATCACTCTTTCCTTTCCTTTCATTTCATCTCCTCACTTATCTCCTTTCTCCCACCTTTCTCATCATTCATACTTCTATTCTCCACTTACACTACTACTTTTCTCTCGGTGGTGGAAAAAGCCTCTTGACTAGTTCCATATGCTGATAGCTGCATATGATCTACTAAAAGCTATGAGATCTGAGGGCACTAACAGAAAATATTTTAAATTTTATATATAGAAGTTGTCATTTTGTTCGAATGGTTCTATGATTTTGTAAAATTTATTGGAATACCCTTACGGAGGCTTGTTTCAATTTGATTGAAGATTTACTACTCTCTTTGTGCAAAGTTGCAAAGTTTCCGATGCAACTTTTTTCCTCTGCTACCACAGAAGATTTACGCATGTTATTCATCTCTTGACATCCACTGTATAATATGACGTATTTATTATTTTTTCAATATGATTGCAAGTTGTGCTGTCTGTTAATGCTTAAATTTTATTTGATTGTGGTACTTTAAACTTTTATGTCTGTCCTCCCCTGAAGTTTACTAGGGGAATTTGTATGTCACATAAAATGTGTGAAAGCATTGCCCAATGATGGAAATCTATATACTTTGAGTAGTTGCATACGGATGTCTGTCACTATTGGCCTTTACTTACCACCATCACCATTCACTTCATAAAACACTCTCTCTCTTTCTCTCTCTCTCTCCATGTATATATATATGTACTCACACAAACACACACACATCTATCTATTTATCTATCTATCTATTGTGATGGTGGTATGTATATGGTTTTTGTGATTGCCCTGTGCAGGAGCTGCACATGATTTATTGAAGCTATGAGATCTGAGGGCTTTTGCCAAGTAATATGATGACATCGTTTGTTTTGTGCCTTGAGATATTAGTTTTGTTCTAATAAATTCCATTCTTTGTGCTTGTTCAAGGGATTGGGTGTTGTTACTTTTCTCCTCTCTCTAGTGGTTAAGGAAATCAGGATTAATTATTTTGTAGGGTGTTACTGCTGTGTTTAAGCTTCAGAGTTGCACTTAACTTTGCATGGTGAATATTTTGTTGTTGCTCTTGGATATCTTGTGAGTTTTTTTTTGGTAGTCATCATCTTAAGGATATTATTGTTAAATGTGTTGAATGATAGTTTTTGTATAGCAGGTTAACAAGTCTCAGATTGTTTATTACGTTACATTATTTACTGGTCAACTGATTAGCTATATAGTAAACACCAGTCACTCTTCTGCAATTTCTAAAGGTAGCCTAATTTGTGTACGTGCAGATTCCTCACTTAAGACCCACTGAGTACAAGAGGTCTAGATTGCCAAGGAACAGAAGAACTGTTAACCGTCCCTACGGTGGAGTTCTGTCCGGTAGTGCTGTTAGAGAGAGGTATGGTTCTTCACATCTCTGTTTCATTCATGAAATTTTGTTTGATGTTTGTTGGAGATTCCTAATATCGGTTTATATTGCAGGATCATTAGAGCGTTCCTTATCGAAGAGCAAAAGATTGTGAAGAAGGTTTTGAAAATCCAAAAAACCAAGGAAAAGCAGGCTGGAAAGAGTTGAACTTAGAAGCCATTTATTCTGATGGTAAATTTTGGTGCTTCAGTGAAGCCATGGGAATGGGGAATGTGATGTGAGGTGTCTTGAGAATTGGATTTGTATCTTACAGTTGGATACTTTCAGCGTAGTTTCTAGTAAAACTTTGTCGACAACTCTACTTTTCTGTGTTTGTCCCTTGAAAATTTTCTTGATTTTATGTCAAATACATCTAAGATAATTGTTTGTGCAATATTAGATGATTTTTTTACCTTCAAAGCAGCCTTTATGAGTAATTTTCTGGCGTTGTGCTCCTCTAGATGCGCTTTTAAGCCTCAAAGACTTCTGAGAGGAAGTTTAATATCCATGTTGTGTTGCTGTTCTATTGTTCTATTACACGTCTACATGCAGTTATAAAAATGGTAAAAATGCAGTATGTATAGAAAAATGCGTGAATATGAATATTAAAAAAAAATGTGTACTTGTAATTTGTGAAATCAACTAATGATGTTTATGAAGAATCTGGAATGTATCAATCTAAACACGGTATTGCCTCTCTGCCAGAGATTTATTAAAAAATTTCACAACTCATTACACTACTTTTCTTAATTTTAATATTTCAACTATTAGCAGCTTCCTAGTCTTCTTACTCCCACGAATTTTCCACCATCTTCCTCAATTTTAGTTGGTCAACTTCCAAAAAACACCCACAAAATATGATTACTAGTCATTCTGTCATCCCAGCAATCATCTTCCTCCTGATCCTCTTTCCCCCTCGTGGCAATGCTGTGCCTGCTAACAATGCCGTCTTTGACACTAAGGGCCGGCCACTCCGAGCTAAGTCAAGGTACAACATCCTTCCGGTGGCTCAAGGCCAAGGTGGTGGCCTAACAATGTCACCTAAAAACAGAACCTCATTTTGTCCTCTTCATGTTGTGCAGGAGGATCAGGAAATCTACCCTGGCCTTCCTGTATGGTTTCTTCCCAAAGACTCCAGCCAACGTGTGGTTACTCTCTCCTCTGACCTCAACATCCTTTTCAACTCGGTCAATGTATGCCTGCAATCTGCTGGGTGGCAGTTAATCGTTGATGATGCCACGAGGAGGAAGTATGTGACAACTGGAGGAGCCATTGGAAATCCAGGGGAGGAGACGATAAGTAGTTGGTTTTACATAGAGAAGGCTGGGAGAGGGGGTAATATAGATGATTTTCATTATATGATTTTGTATTGTCCAAATGTTTGCCAATTTTGTATGGTAATGTGTGGACATGTGGGTGTTTTTGTTCAAGAAGATGGGAGTAGATTGCTCGGTCTTACAGATCACCCCCTTCATGTCATGTTCAAGAAGGCTAGGAACCGCTCAGACTCAGAGTCTTCCTGAGTTTATATTGAATTGTTGGGCTGAATTTTTGTTTGCCCTTTCCTCTTTTTGTGACCTCAGCTATATATACATCAGCTAGTGTATATTTTATGCATCTCTGAAATCTCTAATAATTCACATATAACTGCTGTCATCGATGCTGCAAATGCAAACTCAGAAATAAGTACTTAAAGGTAATTGAGTTCTACCTAAACTCAATGTTGGTGTTTGGATGAATGATTGTTCATTTCTAGTGCTTACTGATTGTTATTACAGATCCTAGAATCTTGTGATCCTGGGAGTGTCTATCTTACATCGGAGTTATTTATTTGTTCTTTTTTTTAGCTGCAAAAACGTAAGGACTAATTTGATTGCACTCAATTTGTAGAGAATTACAGAGTAACCTTACCGGTCCATACTGATAACTCCATATATGATTCGCGGTTAGGAATTCTATACTCGGTTTGCTTTAACTCCTCTCCCTATCCCTCCTTTGGGACCAATATGTTGGTTCAGTTTGCTTTGGTCTCTTTAACCTTGAAGCTCATCTAAACTAGAACTTATATCTGGATCTTCCATTCTTCTCTGTTTTACAAGTGAATATCAGTCGAGAAAGACAAACATGGCAAAATTACATGATTTTGTTTTTAAAATTTCCTAATTTATGACACTGCAGTTCTGATTCAAGTGTAGAGATAATCCGACATATAGCAAAAGCATAAGCAATGTTGAATTTATCCCTAAAAATCCTTTGATATAAACCCATTTGACTGGAATAATGAATTCAGGTTATTCAGATAAAAAAACGTGTTTTTTTTTTTTTTTTTTTTTTTTTTTTTTTTTTGAGGAATAAAAACCATGACTTTTTCATGCCTAATTATTCAAATTTACTTGTATGATCTTGGTTGGTTCTTGAGCTTCTATCAAAATTGTGTTAGGCTTCCTCTTTGCCCCAGCAGCAGCCTGTACTATGTATGTACTGCTCTTGAATGCAACACTTTCTAATCACATATGAAGTACTACTGTACTAGTATATGTTTGTAGCATTCACAATGCCTTTATGATTCAACTTGTGAGCTAAACGAAAATGTAAAGCTAAAAAATTTGTTGGATTAGTGTGGCCCAAATTCCAAAAGCCCAACTTACTATGTCTCAAGATTTGTAGAAATTTTTAACACGTTGAAAAATTGATGGAAAATTGAGAAAAAACCTAGGATAGTCAATGCTCAAGAAGATTATAGATTATAGATTTATGGGGAAAATTTAAAGAGCATGCATGTTTCCACACACTTATTCCACCTCCTAACGTCAATTATAAATAGTGGTAATATTTGAGAGCATGTATCCACATACATGATACATCCACTATTAATCAAGTAATTATAAACTTCCTTTGTTCTATTAATATTGCAACAAAGATGACATTACGCATTTCAAAACTCATTTTATACGCTAAATATTTATTTTTTTTGGTGCTTAGAGAGCCACAAGGACGGGGTGAGAATCGATCCCAAGATCTCCTGGAACTGGGAGGGAAGTTGTAAGTAATAAAAAATTATAAAAAGTTGATATTGTGAAAGTATTTTATGAGATGAATCCAACAAGATCCCACATATGACTATATTTTTCTTAACGTATAAATTATATTATATGGTCAAATAAGAGTGATGAATAGTACAAAAAAATTCATTGTTACAATATTAATAGAATGGAGAAAGTATATGCATACCCTGTATACAAAAACTCTAATATACTTTTGAAGGACAGTAGAATAAAAATTACTTTTGAAAACTAAATCACTAATGGAACAATTGAAGGACAGTAGATCCGTGGCAAAAATACTTTTGAAAAGTAATTCCTTTTGCTTATTAATAAAGAAACTAAAAAATTGCGGAAGCTAGATCGAAAACCTGGCTCTGATTCCATGTTATATTTCGGAAAAACTTATCAAATTGGAGTGTGTATCATTATCAATATATATAGAGTTCACAATACTAGTCATAATCATGTTAAGAAACCTAGTACGATAAGAATACAAAATATACATAAAATCTATTCTAATATGCGACAAATATTATCATAACGATAATATCTATTAAATAGATTATTGAAAATGATAGCCAAATTACAATCATACATTGAGTACGGCCTAATTAAGGAGTACTTATTATTCATGGCATAGTTGCGCACACATACATCCAAGGCAATAACTCCATAAGTATAGTTTAGAAATTAAACTTTATCGTACTACATCATTGACTTCCCAGGATCGCTAGCTTTCTTAAACTGAACAATAAGTGGTTTATCATTTGTAACACCCAACAACCCATTTTCCTTAATAATACCTAAATCACCACAATTTTCTTCCAATGATGTACAAAAAGTCCTTATCTTATACGTATTCTTCTTCTTCCCATCCACCTCAATAGCGAATGAATAATTGAAATCATCAGCGGTATTCACATACGATTGTCCGCCGGTGGTCACTCGCCAATCCAGTCCTCCGCAAGTCGTAACGTTGGTTACAAAGGCGATACTAACACGGGTTGATTCTAGAATATCGAGTATTCTAAGAGGGGAAGATATCCTCACTGGTACTCCGAGGGAGTTAGGTTTACGAGTTATGTAGAGTGGGCATGGTGAGCTCCCTACTCTTTTTGTAAGGACGAGACCTCCACTACCGTCGTATGGGACGACGTAGTAGGATCCGCCACTGTTACGTACCGTCTCACCGTTGGTGTCTAGGACAACGGCGGTGAGTGTGGGGAGAGTGGAGAGACATACTAGAATAGTGATTGCAAATGGGATGAGAGGATTCATTTTTTTTCTTCTTCTTTGGAAGGTGTTTGGAGGGTTGGAAGTGAGTAAGAAGGAAAATGATATGGATTTTATAGAACGTATTGTCTAATTTTGTAAATGGGTAGCATACGTGGTAGTTTCATTAATTAGTTCTAATCGTCCTTAGTTTTGACTATTTTGAACATGTTAGGTTCTAGTGATTTGACTTATTAAATAAAAAAAATAAAGCGAGTACTAGATTGTAATGTATACATAGGGAAATTGTCCACTGCCTAATTGCATTATTATTACTCGTAGTTTGTTAATAGTTAATATTCCTCATACAACTGCCAGCTATTAGCATAGCTGATTATTAGTTTAATTTGTTGATATACTCTGACTTGGTTAGTAAATCATGCACTCAACCTTTAATTTATTAGTTTATTTCGTCCCAAAAATTTCTTTATATTATTATCCCTTCAATTGTTATTGTTTGATCAATTTTCATTTCCAATGTGATATAGAAAAAGACGACGGAAGTATTTACTTGTGCGAATGTACCAATTTTAATACGGAGTACAAGATTGTTTATTGATATTAAATACTACCTCTGGTCCAATTTACTCGCAATAAAGGGGTAATATTTGTGAGACATAAAATATTCTTTTGTTACGAGTAAATTGAACCGGATGTAGTATCTATGATCATGCATCCACATGTATGTACTGTACACACATCTGTTTATACATAGCACCTCTAATTATCACGTTCTTTATTAATATTACGGATGTTCTTTAGATATATATAAAGAACATAAAGTTTGATGGTTTTTTTTACAAAATAACTGCATTTTCTTTACAAAACAACTATATGTTCATTAAAATACAACTATATATGATGTTCTTTATAAAATAGCTAGATGTTGTTTATAAAATAACCGTATGTTCTTTACTAAACAATTAAATATTCATTTCGCCTTTTTTTTTTAAAAAAAAATAACGCACGAAGCATTGTGCATTCGTCTCCATTGAAAAAATTTCATAATTGGATGGGATTAGTACATGCTGAGAATTAACCTGTTATATATTTTTTTTAAAAACAAATCAATTCATTTAACCTATTATATGATAAAAGTTATTGATGTTTAAATTATGCGCGGTAAAAATTATCCATTATTGATTTACAATCATAAATTTTATTTATTTATTTATATTTAATTTGACGTTTTTAGATCTAGTTTACTTTTGAATGGAGTTGAAGCTAAGTGCAACTATTAACTTATTACAAATAATTTTCTACGAGTAACTTATTTTGGACATTTTCATTTTTATTTATACTATGCATTTTTCCTCATTCTTCCACAACTCAAGATCTCTTAGGAAGTCAAATATCCCTAAAAGTCAACGATAATGACTCATTTTATCCTCCTAGTAGCCACCTTCCTCCTCTTCTCCCCTCCATCCACCACCGCCGTAAAAACAACACCCATCCTCGACATCAATGGCCGCCCCCTCGAAACGGGCTCCAACTACTATATCCTCCCAGTGATCCGAGGCCAAGGAGGAGGTCTAACAATGTCCCCTAAAAATGCTACTCAACCATGCCCACTCTACGTAGCCCAAGAAAACCATGAAGTCTCTAATGGCCTACCCCTTAAGCTCTAGACCACCAATCCAAAGGACAAAAGAGTCCCTCTAGGCTCCGACGTAAACATCGTATTCGATGCCGCCTCCATCTGCGTACAATCCACGGGATGGACCCTAGCCTTCGACGAGGCCACTGGAAAGCAACATGTAGGAACCGGAGGAACCATTGGAAACCCAGGCGTCGACACCTTGGGTAACTGGTTCCGGATTCTCAAGGGTGGGAATGGAATGTATGATTATAAGATTTCGTATTGGGTCCCGGCGTTTGTATTTTTTGTACGGTGATGTGCGGGGATGTTGGTGTTTTTATCGGCGAGGATTGTCCTAGGTTTTTGGGTCTTACTACCGATGATCGTCCTCTCTTGGTTGGTTATGTTCAAGAAAGCTTAAAGATTATTTGTTAGGTACATGTGTGAGTATGTGTTCCAAAATATGAAGTTAAAGGAGCAATTTAATTTATGACCAAGTTTTTTTTTTGTTACTCAAGGTTTAATTATGGTTTGCCTTTATTTGGGTTTTAACCTATTGATTAATTTGTTTCATTTGTATCGACGTATTGTCATTAAAGGAGACTTTATTTACTGATTGACCAATAGT